AGACACTGTTGACAGCATATCTCTGCTTGCCGTTGATCCAAGGAGCAGAGTTTCCAAGCATGATTGTCCTGGCTGGCTTGATCAATCCATAGTGGTAGGAGCCTTGCGGATTAGGCCTTGGCCCGCTCGCTGTCAAATTCCATCTGTTCAATCGAAAGAGCACGAAAATGATCAATGTTAGAAAGTATACACTGCTTCTCTTATCCAATGAAAATCCGTAACAATACGAATATTTGTCGGTATCCCAAACTAATCACTATCACGAAGGAAAGTTAAAACACATGCAAAAATGCAGGATTAGCTTGGAAAAGACAATTTAGTAAGAATCCATATGTACCTTATAGATCTCGCTTGGCTTACAGACCAAGCAATCTGTGTGGTAGGACCCCAAGGGATAGGACCCGAAACTCCCTTGCGCGAATTGCTATAGTGAAGAACGGCTGTTGTGGTGAGTACCCGGCGGGTGAAGCGTGAAGACACAACGACGTAGTAGTCCTGGACAGGCTGATTAGCCGTGACCAAGACGGATAAGGACTGTCCGAGATGGATGTCAAGGGAGTCATACATGTTCTGCAGTGTATGAGATCCTTCCACCTCAACAAGTTTCATTTTGTGTCCTTGAATTCTGAAATTAATGGATGCCGTAAGCCCCACGTTTGATATCCTAAACCTATATGTCTTGCCTGCAAAACAAATTGTTCAAACAATGAGGTGAAATTTGCCTTCATTCGTAAGCACAAAGAGGCGGTTACATTACTGTCTTGGTCAACTAGCCTAATTAGCGTTAGCAAAGAAGAGAAGTTCATTCGAGGATACCTTGATCAACGGTGAATGTATATCCATTCCATCCACGACCGTTGATGAGAATCCCGTCAGGGTTGGGAAGAGCTCGGCCTCTATCCAAGTAGCCCCGTCTCAGTATCTTGCATTTCCAAAACAGAAAATTCAAAGTATAAATTTCAACATTTTATGTGACGAAAATATAGAAGTTTAGTAGGTTAATTACATAATGATTAGTCTTGAACCAGTCCCCGGCCAGCACGGTGAAGTCTCCGGCAGGATTAGGGAAAGGAACGGGAATCTTAGGACGGCTCCAGATTCTGATGCCACCAAAACCTCCAGCGGCTTTGTGGAACTTGAGGGAGGGAAAGTAGAAAAAGCTACCAATCTGATCCTTGACTTGGATATTGTAAGTAAAGTTCCTCCCCGGCGGGATTGGACAGTTTGTTCCAAAATTTCCGTCCTGCCATGAGTTCCTTCTCTGCTGTATGCCATCCCTACAGAAGAATCACAGGACACGAGAGCCAGATTGAAACTAAACTGCGGCAGTTCAACGGTTACAATTTAAATGCATCACTTGATCATAGATGAAATTTTGACATTTTTAAGTTTAAAAAGAGTTTACCATCCAAAAAAGTTCTGTTAGTTTTAGTGTGGTATTGAAACACGATCACGTGTTATAATTAATCTCCTTTTATTATATTATATGAGTAATATTCATGGACATCACTTTGTTTTCACTTGTATCATAGCACGGCAAGGGATTATACCATATAATCGTAGTCTGGTACCATACATTATTTTTTACAAGGTAATACTACAGACTATTCTAATTTATAGAACTAAGGTTTAAACTCGAGCATAAGGACATTTACAGAAAGAAGAATCAAACTCGAGTGTAAGAAAGTAACATTGGAAAGGATATACACTATCTAAATATAGGTGTGATCCTCGAAAGGGATAGATCTAACCTAAAGCATGTGAAGGACCATATTTCACCACACGAGGCCAATTGCCTCAAACAGAACATTTAAATTAATTTCATGCAGTAGTGTAGTCATGCAATAAACTATTAACGAATATTACATATATTATATTTTAAACTATTTTAATTTACGATAAAATAATACTAATATTACTAATGGGCTTAATTCACATCTTAGACTGTTGAGAGATTAAGACGCGATTTAATTTGATAACCGAGATTTAAATATTAAACAAAATTCTAAACAAAGAATAAGAAGTTTCCAAAAATAAAAAATAAAAAAACAAAGAATGAGAATCCTCTCTGGATCCTCGTTGCGAGGATCTCAGAGATCTTCAAATCGTATATCGTGCGGTTAGTTTTTCTTATATGCTGTTTATGTTTAATTTTAAATAAAAATATTTAAAATGATTTTTAGTCGCACATTACATGATGAACAGACACAATTTAAGAATTCTCGTAATCCTCACAAGGAGGATATCCTCATTCCTAAACAAAGTCAGTTCCTCAATGAATTTCTGTGCCATAACTTAAACAAAACCAAACCGACAAAATGATACTTAATTTAATTATTTTTTACAGTTTTTTTTTAGTGTACAAAAACTCTTTTATTGGCAAACTTGCTAAAATGACCCCATCGTCACATGCTTGAATGGACGCGAGATTTCTACTTATTTGCATGTATGCAAGGAGATATTAGTCATTAGGAAATAATTAGCGGGAAGAATAGTCTGATAAGAAAGTTTGAAGCCATAGATCTGGGCAAAAAGCTTTCTAATTTTTTACATAAAAACGTTTTCTTGGTACTCTGTTTGGTAGCTGAGAAAGTGGAGGGAAACAAAATGAAAATAAGCATTTTGGAATTACATGCTTTTTCAAACACGAGTTTTCTCAGGAAACAAACAGAAATTAGGGCGATAAGATAACAGAAATAGAGTATATTTACCAAGAAATGAGGAATGGTTCCCTCAGGTAGTTGAAGACGCTAATGACCAAGTTATCGTTTGTAACAGCATCGATCTGAGGCCCTGGAAATTGCCCATTGATCAAGATCCCCTGCAGAAGCACTTTTCTATTAAAAAAGCACTTAATAAAGATAGTGGCTTTTCTGCCTCATTTAGTAAAAGAACTGTTGGAAAAAGCAGAAAATGTACCCGTTGCTTAACACCAAGAGGGTAAATGTCGCCATAAGTGACTTTCCAAGTGAAAAATCTATACGGGTCTTCGCCAATAACGCCATTAACAAGAAAAAGAACTCCAAAAATGGCAAAAGAAAGAAGCTTGCAGTCTCTCATTTTTCTCCGTAAAACCAAAACTTGTTGAAAGATCGTGTTTTAACTTATAATGTAGATCTAGAGAGAGTGTGTTCAAAGTGGAAATGGAAAGCAAATGGATTTCTCTCTCTCTTCACCAAATCTAACTGTGAATCTTTCTCAAACAATCTCTTTCTATCTTAACCAATGTGGATGTGGTGCTTCTGTGGGCAGTGCTTCTGAGAGCAAAGCTTTTTAGTTCTGTTTTTGTAAGCAAGTAGAGAACAGTAGAAGCTGGCTTCTTGTGAGCTGTCAGTACGGTTTTCGGTCCAGTGCGTGAGATGAAGTGGTGCATGTGAATGCTGAGTTCTTGATGCGCCAATCATGGACAGTTGAATTTCGAGTGAGCCCTACCTGTCACACGGTTGAATTTTTTGTGAGGTGACACCATGACATTGATCTGCATATTCATGTTATAAATTGAGCCGATTGATAGTACGCTAGACAGTGTAGCTGTCACATTCAAAATTTTATTCCGACGTGCAAGTGGAGAGATTGAAACTTTGAAGAAATTTTGTTTGTAATATTGTTAAAAAACTAAATACATTGGAGATAAAAATATTGCCCACTCGTTTCCATGGATGTGCTCTACTGTTAATACTTTTTCTTGTCTGCAGCATTGTACTAAACTATTTTAATTGACGAGTGAGAAAAATCAGATTTGAGTGTTAGAATGCATTCTCTAATCAACTGACTTAACTCACGTCTACACGACTACACTATCGTTAACATTATGGGCACTTTCACATTCCTTTGTAATGCTTCAACTTGAAGCCTTCAACTACGTAGAATTTGGTGTTCTTCAACCATGATCTAGAAAATGATATTCCTGTAACCATTTTCTGTGTTACAAACTTATAAGATATAAAGAGTAAGAAGAAAGGGTGAAGAAATAAATCTTTCCTTCTGCCATGGCAAAGATGAAACTGAAATTGAGAAACCAAGGTCCCCATGAAAGTTCATGTTCCCATGCATATTGAAATTGTCGGAAGGAAAGCGGATAAGCGTTGGCTATGTGCCATGATATATGGGATGTGCAATGGACAGTGAGCTGGTCAAGCTTACAATTTTGAAGCCTCAAGGGTGTTTAATTTGCATCTCTTTTAGATGTTAAGTCAAATGAAATCACCAGAAGGTAAATCGATGACGCAAAAGCTGAAAAAAATCATGGAACTTTGGAGAGCATTGTATTTGTTATGGTTCTATGATTTATATAGATTCCCTCTGTTTTAGTGCTGGACTCCTACACGGGGAATGTCAAGCGACGCAAACACAAATGTCGTTTATATGGGAAGGACACTAAAGTTTACACTTGCATTTTGATTGAGTGATGTACAAGTAATATCATTTAAACTCAGATCAAATACATGTGCGGGGATAGCTCAGTTGGGAGAGCGTCAGACTGAAGATCTGAAGGTCAGGTGTTCGATCCACCTTCACCGCACTCTTATTTTTGTTTTTTTTAAGTTTGTTTTCTATTTGGTGATTCATATATATATTTTTTTTAACAATGCAAAATTAATAAAACTATTATGGTTTATGAAAAGCGAGATTCAAACTCGGAATGCAAAAGAACAAGCACATCTGCTACTGTGACATTAACATGACCCACATCTTGTTGATTTACATCAATCACTCATCATTCCTCCCTTTTTGAAATGGTAGTTTTCCTCAATCTATATATCCATCTAACAAAAATATCACCAGCAGTTAGAGATGGCAAATCAATTCATTGATTGTTAATAGTTAACCATTAAGACCCATTGTTTGATTTTCTCAATACACCATCATTACCAATATCAATCTCAACACCATATTACGGTTAAATCAAACTAAATGGGTCATAACGGTTACTCATTAACAACTCAATGAATTGATTTACCTACCAACAGCAGATTACCAACTACTGATTAGAAAAAAAATTCCAGAAAAAAAAAATGATTTTATTTCAACCTCAGCATGGAGTCACAAAAGGAAAGAATAACAAACTGTAGAAGATTACAACAAAAAATACGGATAACTTCTCGCTGATGGCACTTATTCTGCTGCTGCCGAAGGCAACAAATCTTAATCTGTCTACTCCGCTACTGGAATGTGTCGAGTTCACCGTCTGCCTCGTCTTGTTGCTCACCTTCTTACTGCACTCAAAATAAAACATCCATTGCTAAGAACATTGAAGGAACTAGCATGCTAAATGAACCAATTTACAGTATGTAGCAACAAAAGAAAGCTTCTCAAGACTTACCTTCCGGGAAATATACAGCTCCCGTGACCTGCGATGTTCCCACGAACAAAGAAAAAACGAAAAGAAAACGAAGTTATTATTCATATCTGCAGTATAGAACCAACAGAAAAGTATACAAAAAGAGTGGAGCCCCATTAGGGCCAAGGCAAACTTTTCAAAAGATCGTACATATTATTAGTGCAATCTTGCTCGCAAGAATACAAAAACAGAGAGACATCTTTCTGAAGGCAATCTTAGCCCTGGCCTCCGAATCTTTTCAAGTGTTGTGCCCAGGACCAATATCTAAAGGAAAATCAGCGTTTCCACCTCCCTTCCATGTAAGAAATGCAAATTATTACGCTCCTTTCCCCCTCAAAGGTGGACATCACTCACCATCTCACAAGTCACCAACATTCAAACTTGTGACTATTAAGAGTAGGAAATGATTTCCGCACACCACTCTTACAGGTGTGTGGGAATTATTTCGCTCAAGGGTCATGTTCCTCAAAATTAGGCAATAGAATCTAAGCATTTTTGCAGAGAAAGTGTATTCTAGTCTAATCTAAACTACAAAGAGGGAAATTCGAACTTACTTCCCTAGTCTGCTAGGTTATGCTTTAAAGTATTATTCCGTTGTGATTTAACCAAATCGAGTCTCACATTACTTCTAATCAAGGTCTCAAATATCTAAATCGGCAGCTAAGCTACACTACAAACTCTAGAGAGAACTCGGCCCTCAGAATCATTGAATGGAAAGACAAAAATTAGAAATCCGAACAAGCTATCGGCCATTTTGCCTCAGCTTGCAAACTCCCTTGATTAAGCAAGTCAAGTTGTTTGTTCGAGCTTCGGCTAAGGAATAAAAACCCAACGATAATCGGATAATGCAGAGGTAGATGAACTTACTTGGGTCAGTGGTGGTAATGGTGGCTACGCCATTGAAGTCACAAGACCCGGCAGCCCTCCCTTGCTTCTGGTAATAGCTATCAAATGCATATGAAGCATGGCTTTTCACATTATTCGGAGAGTAACAATCCTCCCCCGGCTGAATCTCCGAGCAATTTGCCCGCCCAGGTCCACATGCCCAATCCAATGCAGCCTGCAAACTCTTTCCATCCATCCCATCCATGGCAATGCAGTATGTCTGGTTTGTTGTGTCATTAGCCAAAAAAGACCCACTCCCTGATACGTGAAGCAAATACACCGCACTCGAATTCCCATAAAACAGGCCCCAATTGGCCTCGGACACTGGCGGAGACCTCAAATCCTCATTGAACAATTCATAAATGTACACATCTGAAGTAATCTCAGGGTGCAAAGGGGTTCCACTACGATCCAAAACATGCTTGATAAGATTTGAATTGTATGTATCTGCATTGTCGATAGTAGCATAAGGCTCTTTAGAATCCCCCTTCGAAGGCCATCCGCTCTCCGAAACAAGAACCGTCACATCAGTAATATTAAGGTTTTTCATGGAAAAATAAGCAGCATCAATCATGGCATCCAGCACATTAGTATAATGTAGCAAAGTATTGGGATCCACCATCTCTTTCGACGGCGTAAGAGGCTTGAAAAGCGCATTGTCAAGAGGCACCACACCTTTGTTCTGCATAAACACATAGTAAGGATAGAGATTCATCATCAGCGGCGACCCGGTTTTCGACAAGAACTGAAGCAATGGGAGAACAATTTGGGTTAAGCTTTGGTTGAAGAACGCCTGTGACGGCGGAAACGGATCGAGAATTATCGAAGCGGCGTGAGGGGTCGAAATTTTCACATGGGTGTGTAAATTTGCAGCCACTAAAGCACTGTAAAGCGACTGAATTGCCGGAAGAAGCAGAGGAGCTGAAGAAGGCACGGTGGTTAACACCTCGTCGCCGACCGCAATGCCAGTGATGAGGGTTTGGGGGTAGTAAGCGACGACGTTTCGGCCGACCCAGGAAGCGGCGGTGGTGTTGGAAGAGCCGATGGCGAGGAGCTGGTTGTTGGGGACGCTGATGACGACCCGGATCTTGGTTTTGGACAGGGCTTTGAGGATGTCCGGATCGGCATCGTAGAGGCGGACGTGGTTGATCTGCTGGAGTTGCAGAAACGAAACGAGGTCCGACGGAGACAGAAGATTTCGAAACAATGTTCTCCGACGAACGGCTCTTTTTCTTGGTCCTGATTTTGCAGCTTGGTGGTTTTGAATGTCGGTGGAGAAGATGTGGCTGAAAGTGAAGAAAACCCAGCAAGAAAAATGTGAGAATTGACCGAGAAAGTTGCTTGCTTTCATTAAAGTTTGGAAGTACTGCTGGGTTTAAACTTTAAGATGAAGAAAACCCATCAAGAAAAATGTGAGAATTGGCCGAGAAAGTTGCTTGCTTTCATTAAAGTTTGGAAGTACTGCTGGGTTTAAACTTCAAGATGAAGAAAACCCAGCAAGCAAAATGGTAGAATTGGGCCAATTGGCCGAGAAAGTTGCTTGCTTTCATTAAATTTTGGAAGTACTGCTGGGTTTAAATTTCAAGATGAAGAAAACCCAGCAAGCAAAATGGTAGAATTGGCGAGAGAAGTTGCTTCCTTCCTCGATTTTTGGAAACTGTTGGGTTTAAACTTTGAAATGAAGAAAACCCAGTAAGCAAATGTTAGAATTGGTGAAAAAAGTTTCTTGCTTTCTAGATTTTTTTTTTTTTTTTTTTTTTTTTTTTTTTTTTTGAAATAACGGAGAAAACCCAGCAAGAAAATGTTAGAATTGGTAGAAAAGGTTACTTGGTTTCTGTGATTTTTGAATTATTTTGGGGTTAAAACTTTAAGTGCAGAAAACCCAGCAAGAAAATATTAGGATTGGGTGAAGAAAGTTACTTACCTTTGGATGCAAAGACGAAGAAGAAGAGGAGGGTTGAGAGTGAGAGAAACTTAGTGACCGCCATTGGAGAGGAGCTTGAGCTTTGCTGCTTCCTCATCCTCTGTTTCTGGTTCAGCAGCTACAGATCCTTGCATTATCTTCCAAAAGACTTCTTCTTTTTCTGCTGTTGGTTTTATTTAATTTAATCTCTTTTTTTCTCTGGGTTTTTGGTTGTTGACCCAAAGAGATCTAACTTTCATGAGAGAGTGAGTCAGTGAGTTGTTCTGAGGGTTTACTGGATCTTTGCAAGGAAAATAAGGGAGCTGCTTCAATTAATTTACCAAAATGGCCTTGTTTTCTAAGAGGGTTTGGTGCACTTTCTTTGATTCTCTTGCCTTCTGGTTGGGTTGCCCCCCAAAGGCAAATAGTATTGATTGAAGAAAGGGAAATACTTGGAAATTTAAAGCACTTTCTGGAGCTGGTGGTACTGTTGGTTTGCCACTTGCCAGTCGAATGTTGGGACTTATATTAAATGAATAATTGGCCAAAAAAATTAATACATAAATAAATAAAAGGACCATAAAGTTAAAAAAAAAAAAATATATATAATATATATATATATAATGTGGCTTACTTCTGCACCCTTGAGAAGATGTTTCTAACTTTCTTGCATTACAGGCTGGCTTCCTGCTTTTCTCTCAAGTGTGTGGTTCACATTTTTGACTTCAAATTTCTTTACACTATGTTTGGAATGAGAAAATAAATTTGGAATTTAAATTAAAGTCAGAATTTATAAATTAACATACATCAATTTTTTTATTTTGATTCATAAATATAGAAATTTAAAATTTCCGCATGAAAAAAAACTTGGAATTTGGGATATCTAATTCCTTAGTTTAAATTCTATATAAATATGTGTCATTTCCTAATTTCTATAATTAAGATTTTAAAAATAATAAATTTTGTATTCAATTCCATTATTTTTTTTTTGTTAACTAAACAAGAAAATTCACAAATTCTAGAAAATAAAATCTCATTATTTTAAAATTCCTTAGTAATCTTAAATTTCTTCGTCCAAACATAATGTTATGAATTTACATGCAATTAGAACGTAAATGTAATTGAAACATAAATGTGGTAGTATTTTAAGTTCATCACTCAATTTTCACATGTTTTACTTTACTCACATATATAACATCATGTGATTGCTTGAAATATTTTCATTTTAAATTCACGATTTCATGCAAATTTCTCTCAATAACAATGTTACTGTTAAGAATAGTGTTAAAGCATTAAAATATACAATATTTTGTTGTTGTCCTGGTATTTCAAACAAATCACTGACTGTTGTACATTTTAAATTTTTTACATGACAGTGGAGAAAAGGGAAAAGACATTGCCAGCCAAAAATGTCTTTCGAAGGACGAGCACCCGCAGGGTTTTCTTGGGTAGCAAACAAAGCACAGACCAATAAATTACACGGTATCTACAGTACTGCAGCAGTGGGTCACGAGAACAGTAGTAGAACGACAGCTTACAGGGTGAGGCCGTGAGGGTGGGTCACCAAATACAAATGCCTTCTCTTGTTTTGCACACTATCAAATTAGTTTGATAAAACAAGACTCTCAATCCCACAGGTTTCTGCATTTTTGTTTATAATTAGGGTAAATTACATAGTAGCCTCTTAGGTTTGAGCTTTATTGCAATCTCATACAACATTTTTAAAACATTTCACTTTCATACCTCAAGTACTATTTTATTTCAATTTCATACAACCGTTAGATTTTCCATCCATGGATCTGTTAAATGCTGACGTGGTTGCCACATATATGACACGTGACTGCCAAATGTCTGCCACGTGGCAAATAAAATATATATATTTTTTTTTAAACCTGAAATTGGAAGAAAAAAAAAAGAAAAATAAAGGTCCGAACCCATAAGAAGAAGAAAGAGAAAGAGAAAGAGAAGAAGAAGAAAAAAAAAAAAAAAAAAAAAAGGGGTCCGAACCCAGAAGAAGGAGGAAGAAGAAGAAAGAGGAGAAGGAGGAGGAGGAAGAAGAAGAAGGAAAGAAGAAAGAGGAGGAGGCGGAGGAGGAAGAAGAAAGAATGAGAAGAGAAAATGAGAAAGGAAAGAAGAAGAAAAAAAAAAAAGTCAAGAAACCCAAGAAAGAAGAAGAAAAGAAAGAGAAGAAGAGAAGAAAAAAAAAAAAAAAAAAAAAAAAAAAAGGATAACCCAGAAGAAGAAGAAGAGAAGAAGAGAAGAAGAAGAAGAAGAGAGGAGGAGGAGAAGAAGAAGAAGAAGAAAAAAAAGGAAGAAGAAAAGAAGAAGAAGAAAAGAAGAAAAAGAAGAAGATAAGAGAAGAAAGAAAGAAAGAAAGAAGAAAAGAAGAAGAAGAAGAAGAAGAAAGAAGAAGGAAGAAGAAAGAAGAAGAAGAAGAAGAAGAAGAAGAAGAAGAAGAAGAAGAAGAAGAGAAGAAGGAAGGAAGAAGGAGAAGAAGAAGAGAAAGAAGAAGAGAGGAGGAGGAAAGAAGAAGAAGAAAAAAAAAAAAAAAGTCCGAACCCAGAAGAAGAAGAAGAAGAAAGAGAGAAAAAAAAAAGTGACAAATATGTTTTTTTTTTTTTAATTAAAAAATTATTTTATTTGCCACGTGGCAGATATTTGGCAACCATGTGTCATATATGTGGCAGCCACGTCAACATTTAACAGATCCATGGATGGAAAATCTAACGGTTGTATGAAATTGAAATAAAATAGTACTTGAGGTATGAAAGTGAAATGTTTTAAAGATGTTGTATGAGATTGCAATAGAGCTCAAACCTGAGGGGCTACTATGTAATTTACCCTTATAATTATATTCCTCACCAAACACTAATCACTATGCAACTATATGCATGCATTCCTCGTTTATATGTAACCGGAAAGATGCCCCCTCTCTTCTCTCTTCGCATGAGTGCGGTAAGAGATGATAGATATATCCGGTTACACTCAAATTTTTTTCACCAGCATTGCCTTTAAGCATTATTTATCGAAAAGAGAACTTTAAAGGTAAAAGGTTAAGTTTCAAACTGCAAAAGAATGTAATTATGTTTATGTAAATGTTGTTCACCAATAACATATATAAATTCCATGTTTTCTTAACGGTAACATGGAGAAAGCTACGCCCTCTGAATATAATCATGAAAAAGGGGTGGGTAGAGGAAAGGTGTTTTTGGTGGGTTAAAGAAACATGGAAAGAAAGGGTGGAGATTCTCAGACAGCAATTTGGAAAGGGGATCCTAAGAATTTGGAAGTACAACAAATATTTACTTACATCCTGTTAGTTTGGATTTACAACAATAACTATGTCGTTGATTAGATCTCATTCCTTAACTAGGACTAGGAGTTGCATGTGTCTTCCATATGCTTGAAATGTCTTATCTACTGTTCAATCTTATTGATGGACTGTTCTTTTTATTGTGTTTGGACTAGGGATCACCAACTAGCGAGAGATTCAATATTAGCATAGAAATACCTTACAAAAGCTCATATAAGGTTCGGGGTGGACACTTGAAATAAAAAATTGAAAACGAAACACAGAACAAATCGGATCATATCGAACGATTCGGTTTTTGTGGTTTTGAAACAATTTCAGTTTGAAACCTAACTGCAAGTTGAAAAAAAAAAAAAAACGGTTTGGTTTGGCTTCTTATATCTAGAACTTAATCGAACAGCATAATATAAAAAATATTTAATTTAATAGCCAATTAGGTGGTGGGGTGTAATTGGTTATTTTAAATTTGTTTTTGCCACTTTTGTATGCATTTTAAAGTTTATATTAATATAATTTATATTTTTTATGTTTTTGTAATGTAGAGTTGGCCAATTCGAATTCAAGCATCGCCTCTTACTCTTAATTCATAACCACAATAACAAATTCCTAGGGAATCTCAAGCTTTCAACTCACAAGGTTGAATCTTGAATGGCTTCTCATCCATCTGTTTCACTTCACAAGATCTAAGGTCTAGACTTCTCAAGCCTGTTAACAAACTCAAATGCCTCCTAAACCTTTAAAGAGTTAGTGTCTAAAAAAAAAAAATAAAAAAAAAAAAGGTTGAACGATTCAATGTAATGACTTTAAACACCAAAATGTTTATGTTGAATTACATGAACAATTTACCTTTTCAGGTTTTTTCAGGTCATAATAATGCCATAAGACATTTTGACGTGGAACTTTGTTTGAACTTTAGTAGTTTTGCAATTGCTTGAATGTAAATATATTCAGCTATTTATCATTTAACTGGTTTTTTTTTTTTTTTTTTTTTTTTTGAGAACTAGGAAAACATGTTCCAGGGCAAAGAAACCAAACAGGAGCAAGAAAGCCTACACAGAGGCAAACACCACGAAAACTAAACCAGAGCAAAGCAATGAGCGGGGATACAAGCCACAGACACTTGAACTAAGTTAAAGTGTCACCCCAAACCCACCACACCAAGCTAATGAAGACAAGGAAAACCATCATTACATAAAACATGAACTAACGAAGATGAGGGTCTGTCAACCCACACAAAATCACACATCTCTGTAAGACCAACTGACGTAAGAACATCCTGCCATATTGGCTGATCTTGGCACCAAGACTAGCGATAGTTCTGGAAAGCCTCACCAACCTTTGAGCCCAACCTTTGAGCCCTAGCCAAAATGGGGAAAACCTCCCAACTGCCATTTTCAAGAGTAAACTAGTTTGGCAGAGCACAAAGTTAATAAACTTTTACCAAGAACAATGCCGCAGCAAAAATGTCAATGCCACAAGAAAGCATAACTTTTATCCATTTCCAAAATCATAAATCACTCACTGGAGACCAAAAGGAAAATTACAAGAGCCCTATCTTCTTGTCCCAAAAAAGAACTGACTAAATTGACAATAAACTATGCCAAAGGCGTTGTGACATTCTTTTGAGAAACAGAGATATTTCTAAAACACAGATTCAACGAAGAAGAATCGATAGCATTCATCCGCGATGGTTCGCCAACGAATGTTGACTTCACCATTTAGGTATGGAGATGAATGGCACCGGGATTACTTTCTACAAACGTTTCAAAACTTCAGTTGGTTACCGAAGGGCATTGACGAACGCCATCAATGAATCGACGTCCCTCTTCTCCGTTGGGTACTTGATCGGCTGAGAAGAGTGTTTGGGGAAGAAGAGTATTGTGGGGAAGCTTGTGAGCTGCAGTTCTTTCTGGGCAAACTCCTTTTGCTCTCCATCTGCTCTGAACTTCCCCACTTTCACGCTGCTCCCCGCCAACTTGTCAGCCAACTCAACGAATGATGCTTCCATTGCCTGGCAAAACGGGCACCACGGTGCTAGAGCACTACAATCCATGGTTCTTTCCGGTCCTCAAGCTTTGCCAAATTTTCTATTCCAGTTCGGGTTAAGGTGACTAGATTCTGGGAAGTGAATATATCAGTTTCCGTGGCAGCACTATTTGACTCTG